CATTAGTCGATTTGTGTCTGCATCATAAAGTTATTCTCGATTGAAAATGTCAGTTTACGAGCCAAATTCTCGTCATTTGGGGGAGGTTTTAATTTTCTGCTTCAATATGAAGAAATCTGCGACTGAGGGTCATCGAATGCTCTCAAATACTTATGGTGAGGCCGCTATTAGTGAAAGAACGTATCGTGAGTGGTTTCAACGCTTCAAGAACGGTGATTTTGACGTCGAAGACCGGTGGAAGAGAGAAAGTTTTCGAAAATGCAGAATTGGAAGCATTACTTGATTCGTGTCAAAATCAAGAAGAATTGGCACGATCATTGGGAGTGACTCAACAAGCCATTTCAAAACGCCTCAAAACCATGGGAATGATTCCGAAGCAAGGAAATTGGGTGCCGTGTGAGTTGAAGCCGAGAGATGTTGAACGGCGTTTGTTTGCTTGTGAACAGCTGCTTGAAAGGCAAAGACGGAAGGGATTTCTGCATCGCATTGTGACTGGGGACGAAAAATGGGTTCATTACGATAACCCCAAGCGCAGAAAATCATGGGGAATTCCCGGCCATGCTTCCACGTCGACGGCCAAACCGAATATTCACGGCTCCAAGGTCATGCTCTGTATTTGTTAGGACCAGCTCGGCGTAGTGTATTATGAGCTGTCAAAACCGACTGAAACAATCACAGGCGATCGGTATCGAACGCAATTGATGCGTTTGAGCCTAGCATTGAAAGACAAACGGTCGCAATATAACGAGAGACACGATAAAGTGATTTTGCAGCGTGGCAATGCTCGATCCCATGTTGCGAAAGTGGTCAAGACATACTTGGAAACGTTGAAATGGGAAAGCCTACCCTACCCGCCGTATTCTTCAGACGTTGCTCCCTCTGACTATCACTTGTTTCGATTAATGGCACACAGTCTGGCTGACCAGCACTTCCGGTCTTATGAAGAAGTAAAAAAATTGGATCGATTCGTAAATTGCCTCAAAAGATGACCAGTTTTTTCGACGCGGGATTCGTACGCTGCCCGAAAGATGGGAGAAAATAGTGGCCAGCGATGGACAATACTTTGAATCATAAATGTATAACCAGTTTTTTTTACAATAAAGCCTCGAATTTCAGAAAAAAACGACGGAAACAAAGTTGTACACCTAATATACATATTTATTTAAATGAATTAATTTTAGAAATTATAATAAACAGAGAAGAGAAGTTTTAATTATATTTAATAAATGATACGTACATCAAAATTAACTAGATCGTAAATATACTAAATAAATAAATTTATTTCGATTGCAAACAGAATAAATTTTTATTTATAATCTTTACATGTAATGTATTTAAAGGATCATTACAGTAATACAATACCATTCCGATTTTTTGCCTGTTCCCAACATACACATGTAGTGACCACGATTCATTTCTTCGCCCTCGTGAAGTATAGTGCTTATTACCGACTATTGATAATTTTTTTAGAAGTACCGTTTACAAAAGTGTGTAAATTGAGCTGTATTATATAAAACGGATAAGTTCAATTCAAATACGGTTTTTTTTCAGAACGGTACCCTTACATTTCGTACAATTGTCATTTATCCTTTCCCATTTCGAAAATTCGAATTTAATCGAAGTTTGCAGAGTGAGACCTTTTTCCTTTATAATGTCGACTGTATAAATGATATCAGCAAACGGGGTAATCCCGATTGATCACAGCTCGATTGGACACCACCAATCACATCGACTGGTGCTTAGGAGCTTTGTAGTCTCAAGCGCTGTGAGTGGCTCGCGTTCAATTGAGCCGTGTCCAACTGGGTGCCACCCCTTTTGATCATTGGTAAAAACGAATGATATATCATCTATCCTTTTTAACTAACTTCTTATACCGTTCATCTATTTCTCTGTAACAACGTTTATACGGCTAGGTTATGCTGGATTCACACTGCGTCCGATTTGCGTCGTACGACGCTATGCAATCAATCAGAAAGCAGGATTCCGATGATACGAAGCAAAATTAATCGGAATCCTGTTTTCTGATTGGTTGCGGAGCGTCGTACGACGCACATCGGATGCATGGTGTGAATCCAGCATTATGTCGAAATTATACATTGATACATGAAACTGGCCAATCACAGTCATTCCATTCTTCAGAGTAATAGCTATGATTAGTCAGTTTCATAACATCGATGTTATAACTTCGGCGTAAATCGAGCCGTGAAAACGTCGTTTATGTTTGTTCAGCATCAGATAAGAACATGTACAAGTACTGACAAATCCGACAATAGTTTGTTCTTTATCCAAGAATTTTCAGAATTGTTGCATACGGTGCAATAATAAGTTCAGAAAGTTCATTGTAACAGATCCATTGTTTCTTTTCGAACGCACTCAGCGAGGCCCTGTCTGACAGTGCAACGCCATCCCCCAGAAAATCGAGCAACTACTATTATACACAATTCTTGGTCTGTTTATCAGCCCGAGTCTTCGTTGACAAGCAAATTTATAGTGTTTTCGGCCCGGCCAGATTCGCACCAACCTGGGTTAGATTAATGGCGTTTTGTGCTCTCCTATTGATAGAGCGGGCGACGTC